AATGGGGACCCCTCTGCACAGGCCGTGAGATCCCCTCCTCTTTCCTGGGAGGTGGTTTCACCCCAGCAAGGCGGCGTCACAGGAGTCCCCCTTCGAGCCCGGCGTTAACCCACGCCTGAGTGCCTGCTTGGGCAGCCTTTCCTCTGCAGGCACGCTGGAGCCAGGGTTGCCTTAGAGAAAGGGACATGGGAAAAATAGTTCACATCTGCAGGGGCTTTGGGGTTGCCCGTGCTACGAATCCCTCCAAGCGAGTTCATGGATACATTCCCCTGCAGGACTGCAAATGTCCCAGAAGTTTGGGACTGAGTTTAGGATAAAGTGGTGTTGCTGTGTCCTGCCAGGGCCTCTCCCGCATCATTTCCATGCTAAGTGCGTCAGTTTGCCCATCTGTAAATGAACGTGGTAAGACTTGCCATGGGGACCTGCCAGTGGCTGCTCAGGGAGGATGCAGCAGGATAAGTGGACTGTGTGGAGGCCTCACATTGTTGTGGACGGGGAAGTTATTGCTGGAGAAGGGAAAAACGAGGGATAGTGCTCAGTTACAAACTGCTCTTCTCAGCTAAGGAAGGAGAGGAGACTTCTGCTCGCATCCTGGGAAGTTGCCCAGGGGTTAGGAAGCCTGTCAGTACAGGGTTGTCCTGGCCAGTTTGAACTCCTCAGCCTCAGGTCATGGACTTGTCGGTGTCCTGTGAAACCTGTGCAGCGTCTCTGGGCTGCTGGTGGGAGCTCCTCTGTCGATGTTGGGTTACTGATGAGCTTCCAGAGCCCTTCAGGGCCAACTCCACCCCCCAGGGATAATGCTGGTCTTGGCAGGTAGCTCATCTGCCATCGTGTCCCGGGTGGAATGGCGGGGGGGCTGCCAGGATACACCGCCCGCCGGGTGCCTGTGTGCTGGGGGCAGGAAGTGCACAGAGGGCACGGGGTGTCCTTGCTGCCTGGAGCCCACTCCCGGGGGGCTCTGCAGGTGCTGGTGCTCTCATTTCCCCTCTGCACGAAGGCAACCAGGATTAAATCACCGCAGGTAAAATTAGCAGATGACACATGGGCGGGTGGGTGGCAAAACCCGGTCTGGGAAGCACGGCAGGCTGTTGGGACGAGC